AKMGAGACTTTGACTGTAGTTGGGAAAGAATAGTTCGTATTGAGACTACGTACCCTACAAGTCCAACATCTGCCATTAATCTAAGATTAAGCCTGATCATATGGCATTTCCCTTTTTCTCCGCCCCAACCCTCTGTAGAGGGATTTCCACCTTGGCCTCCATGAGCTACAAGAAGTCTGGATCCCACATTATTCATCTCTGCTAGAAATTGTCYATCATCAGTCGATACKGTTGTTCCKGGAGGAACTGGTACAATGACATCAAGACCTCTTAGTCCTTTTTTCTTTCGYTTTTCTTTTCTGTGTAAATGAATGGGAAAAACATTCAAAATTAAATAAATAAATGAATGAATGATTAAATAAATGAAAAATGTTAAATGTTAATTTTAGAAAATGYTGATTAGTTAATTGAGTGATTTCGCAGTTGGTAAGGAAAGACTTCTCCATCAGTTGAGCTTCTCTATTATTTACGATTTGCAAATGATAATGTGGCAAAGTCGATGTACTCACGTGAAGTGACCTCCATGACCAGCTATCACACGTCGATTTTGCTTCAGTGAGAAATGATCAAAAGTTGCTCCTTGCTGACATTGTAGGACAACATTACCACCATCTCCACCAAGACCRGCATAGGTAAGCGAGCCTTGACCCCCACTACCACCTCGTACATACAATCGAACATAGTCGTTGAGTCTTGTGCGACCTGAACCGCTCTAAAACACACCAAATACAATATTCAAATATATTCAACGTTCAACATTCAACTTCAACGTCAACTTCAATAACAGCCATGTTATGCGTCCACGGCTGCATTGCACTATTTTTGACAGGGCACATGAGGTGGTTAGTCAAAGTACTTACATTTCGTGGTACCTGTACARTTGGACGAAACATCGCGTACTGTGGTACTTTGGCGGGTAAAGGTCTTTCCATCTCGGTTAAAGGCTCCTCTTGGCTTACACTTGGAAGTCCCTACAAATCAATACATACACACACACAAAAAAAAAAAACACAAAAAAACAATGAAAAAATATTTCCATAGAAAAGATATGATGTAATGGGAAATTGAAATTTTATTTAGATTGGAGAAAGTTCGACGTGTTCAAGAAGGAACTCGCAGTTTAAGTACTCACTGCTGAAGCGTTGTGAGGAATGACGTCAATGGATTGTTTTACACTAAAGAAAGATGGAGGATTCAATTTGACAACCTCAACGTATTGCTGAATCTGAAAGATAAGAATTATAAATGTACTAAAAACACAAATGCCATTGAGCTGAGCGTGGACTTAGGAARAATACATGTGCTCATGTTATCAGAGCTTATTCGACTTGCACTGAAGAATGATTGCGCATACAAGCAAAAGAACTCAACATGTTTTTAAATCACCAAAAATGATTTATCACTCGTATTCAATCTATAAAATCAATGAATACAGTAAATTTAGAGCGCTCCAAAAAATGCGCGCGCTTCAGCCTTCCCTCGCGCTATGACAGAACAAATAAAGTGATTTCGTAAATCAGATTGCATCCTCATCTTCATTGAGTAACAATCATTATATCACAAGCGTTTTATCGACTTAAAAAATTCATTGAATTTATATTACAAAATGGGAAATTGCGTTTCTGGACAACAATCAAAACAAGRAGAAATTCCTTCAAAGGCCAACAGCGTGCCAGAAACACCAAAACTCCAGCCCCAAGAGCCTTGTCATGGTGGTCTTGAAGATGTGCTGTCTCTTCGAAGTGTATCATCGGACGAGTTTAAGAGYACRTCATTGAATCTGTCATTCAGCGACCAAGGAAGCATAGGACAGAGTATTCACAGCAGGCCTAGYGCATGTTCYGTATACGTYCACCCCAATGATTCAAGAAACCTTACGTCTATTAGTAGCTTCAARAACAGTGACGGTRATGACAGTCAGTCCTTACCTAGCGTTAGCTTGTCAGGCAACTTGGACATTGAAGCTTTCACAAAGAAAGTCAACGATAAATTGAGAAAACTTTCGCGTAGTCAAACCAAAGTAGACAGATCGGTCAGTGTGATTCGTCGACTTGACAGGGCAATTGTTAGCGCTATGAACAAAATTCAGAACGTGCGTGCAAGGATGTCATCGAAAGTCTCTCCAATGCTGGTGCTCGAACAAGGAGAAAATCAAAACGCACAAGAGAGCGATGGAAACCTTGATGTATTGACGATAAGTGACTACGAAGATTAAACTACAAGGTTGACCGCCGAGAGTAGAGAATGCAAGCGGAGAAGAAGGGTCTCCATAAAAATTGAACTCAATTTCGCGCCAAGAACAATGACGCATTTCAAAAACAATAACTTTAAAAACTCAAGAATAAGTACATTTTTCAAATGCGTGTAAGTAAAAAGTACGCGAATAAAAGGACTACCAGAAACTACAAGACTGAAGCAGAGAGTTCTTTCAACTCTTCTCGAACTAAAATACAGTGAATTCGCGCCAAAATTTCAATTATGCTCAMAAAATATTTTGTAACTTTCATTAATCTGGCGTTTTCTTCTATACATGTATACATTATGTAAATTAYCTTTGATAACTTGTTACTTTTATTAAAATACAAATAAATTCGTAAATAATGATGTAAAAGTTTCAATTGCTTTCTTCCAGTTCAGTGTTGCTGTGTCTCGGTGATATTTCGATTGAACAATATACAAATTACAAATAAAAAAATATTTTACCGACACAAACGAAAAAAACCCACCTCTTTTAAAGAACTTAGGTCATTTTCATTGTACAACATTACAGCTTTTCCTGAGGACGTGTTGAAACTCTGCTGCAACAAGAATCTGATGACTGAATGTATGCCATCCACTGGAGGTTGCACTAAAAAAGGAACAGTAAAACGACCAATTTGATTACTAATTATATAGCCACATATTAATCCCAAATAGGTAAAAGCTATTTCTTAATTGGACAGCACGGAGTCCTATTACATATAAAAATTATGCACTAAAATGAAACCTTTAATTGCAAATGTTATCTAAATCTTTTAGATTAGTTTTAATTTCCTCAGTGTTTGAAGCAAACAGCATTGCTATGCAACCTAGATTCACTCTTATCTCACCCATGATAATCAGGTCTGCTTTGGGGAAYGAGTGCCTGTTTGCAYCTTGATAACATCCCTAGAAGGAATTCACACATGTAGAGAATTATCAAATAGTTGCACACAAAAAGTTCAGAGCCTTACTAAGTGGATTAAATGATTGTTCAGTCACACTCACAACAATGATGAACTCCTTATCTTCTGTGATTTTTACTTCCTGACACCAAATAAACATCCAATTAATAAATATAGAATGTATGTTTATGGATTTTGTTGACCACTAACCTGTTTAGTGAGTGAAGTACCATCTAAACATGAAATCCCATTTTCCTTAAGTTCAGTGCAAAGCTCAGTTGCTAGCACTATCAACAAACAGAGAGATATAWGCAATGATGCTGTAAATTATTGAGGCTACATATTGTATTCAATTGAAAGTACCTGCTGCACGGACAAAGATTAGAACTCTCTTGCTATCAAACTTTTTCAATAAATGGATTGCAAACTTTCCACCTGAAATAACATTGAAAGGCATTGCCTTTCAAAGCCAAAAATGTTCAAGTTAATCGTAGTTTTGCGTCTCTTAAATCAGGATGTAGTAACTTGTAGTAACTTAGCAACTCTCTTTTTCTACCTCCCGACAGTATCCCGTATGGAATWTTCATTCATCAATAATCATTATGAAATATTGATTATACAAATTATTATGTAATTGCATTACCATTAAAGGGTGAACTTGCTGTTCTGTAATCTGCTTATAGCTACAGGCAAAGTATCAAATAGTTTAATAATGGAAATACAATCTTAATTTTTATATGAAATAGGTAGTAAATAGCAAGAAACGTCACACACACAAAAAACACAAATGCATAGCTTGGGCTACCTGTGCAAACATGTCTACATTGTCTGCATAAGAACCCTGCCCCCTCGCCCCCTTCAAGAGGTATAATTACGAAAAATGTACGCTGATGTTTTAACTTGGGATACCTATGGACTGCCCCCTCAATGTAAACTCGAGTCCGTGATCGATCAAATGACCTGCATCCATGTCTTACCTTGGTAAAGAAGAAACACTGCTGTCTGTTCTTGCATTTTCTCCATCTAAGCTTGTGAATTGGATCTTCTCGTCATACTTTTTAATCTCTAAGTGTTGAGAAAGGAMATTTTATCGTCACTGAGTCCGAGAAAATTTCCAATGAYGATCTACAATTGACAATATCAACAATTTACCTGTAACTTGGAATTCCTTATTAGAAGTGGAAGCAATAGTACGAATCGACCGCAGCTGTCGATATGTCAAACGACAACAACGAATAAAATCACGATGAAGAACTTTAGAAGACAAACTTGCCGCCATCTTGTTTTGTGTCCAGTCTCACTCRTCTCCAGTACAGGTAGTAACGCCTGTCKCATTTCGTGATTTTGGAGGGCGCACGATGCATGCTCAACGGAGCAAATAGTTAGCAAAACTTTATCACCAAGAGGTATTCAAGTATTCGACAAAGTGCCTATGTAACAAAACATTGATTAGATTTTTGATTTTTAGTAACAAAGCTTACAAAATGCCGTTCAAGATTGATATTCATAATCACATTTTGCCAGAAAAGTGGCCAAACTTGAAAGAGGTAAGACTTAACTTATATTATAAACGCCTAAAGTATCACCCAATAGTCTTTAAGCTACTATTATTATTAATGGAATATTAATTGATAGAGATATGGATATGGAGGTTGGATACAACTTGAGGGACATTGCAAGGTGGGTACAACTGTGATTGTTTWGTAAATTTTCAAAAAAGTTAACTTATTTACTGGCAAAAGAAATTTCAGCCTAACATCCCCACCTCTCCCCACTCAAAAAAATCCTATAGTGCACTAGCTATGTATTTACCAAAGTCGGTTTTGGACATAGCCCATCTTGATTATGCAAAAATACAACAAACAAATGTCCCCATTCCTCTCCCCACAAATCTATATCCCATGGATTCCTCTACTGCAGAARTGAGGTGTTTATATTTATTATGCAAAACCAGAGATAATAGAGGGGAACTAGTTCTTCTCTATTAACTCTGGCACAACTTTGCTTTACATCATAACCTTTTCAGGGAAAAGCTAACATGATGAAAGATGATAAATTGTTTCGAATTATTGATGAAAACTGTTGGTCTCCTGAGGCACGATTACGTGACATGGACAAAACAGGTTACAACTCAATTATCTATTTATGTCTTTGTTGTACTTTTAATGTATTGAAGGTAGCTGAAAAAGAAGCATTTAGAGAATTATAACCAAATTTCCCATGTAGACCTGACCCAGGGAGCTCACCCCTCCCCCCTACGAATTTTCCCCATAGTGGGGTAGGGCTGGGAAAAGATGTACACAGGCTAACTGAAGTAGCATTTGAATTCCAAAAAATTGATGTTCACCTTATTTTACAGGAGTTACTGTTCAAGCATTATCAACTGTTCCTGTGATGTTCAGCTATTGGGTATGAACAATCCATATCTCCTTCCACTATTATCAACACCCTAAAGGCTAGCAATGCAGCGGTTTTTGAAATGATTATTTATTAAAAATGCTGATTGTGAATATSTAAATTTCAGGCTAAACCAGAAGATACTCTAGATCTCTGTGGTTTACTAAATGATGATCTTGCAAAGACAGTTGCAAAGTATCCTAAAAGATTTGTTGGATTGGGCACCCTACCAATGCAGGTTCATTCAATATTCACAGTTTTCAAACTATATATTGTATTATTTACCCGGCTAATGTTACTAAAATCTTTTGATATTGTTTAGGCACCTAATTTAGCTGTAAAAGAGCTAACAAGATGTATCAAAGTAGGTATAGGGTATATAAATAAATAGATAACAAAAGATAAAACATTATTCACAGCAATTCAAATGCAGTTTCAACTGAAATAACAGACTACTGGACCTACTAGACATAAAAATGAACCTTACATGATGATCCATATTTTCTTACCAGGAGCTTGGTTTTCCTGGTGTTGAGATTGGCTCACATGTAAATGACTGGAACTTGGATGCTCCTGAATTAGAACCAGTGTTTGCAGTAAGTACTTTTTGATAACTAGGGATGGAGTRTCTTTAACAGAAAGTTGGTAGAATCAGAAAAAAATGGTGAACAATACTACAACTGGTATCTCCTAAAAGCATGAAATAGCTAATGTTGTTACAGTAACGAGACTTAGCCTGACATAAAAAATTGAGGATCTCAAGAACAAATCCAGGGGGAGTTTTCAGGGTGGTGTACACTCACATAAATTCCTAGGGACTTACAAACCACWCATTAGATTGGGAATTTGACTGGGAACACTATTTCATAGATTTTCATTTCAATCACATGGCAATCCTTGCTCCTTAGATATAAATCAAAATCATCAAGTTCCAACCTAAATATACCCAGAGGCCATTTGTGAAGAAAATCTAGGATTTGCCTATAGATAAACCTTACATTTTAAACTGTCTTTGAGTACAGAAAGCAGAGGAACTTGGTGCAGCAATATTTGTTCATCCATGGGATATGGAACTTTCTGGAAGAATGTCAAAATACTGGTTGCCATGGTTAGTGGGTGAGTTTCTGTAAGAAATGATAATTTCATGGCCCTATGTCAAAATTTTCGCCTGTCAATCATTTTCCTTTATCTGACAATGGTTAGGTATGCCTGGAGAAACAGCTTTAGCAATGTGTAGTATGATTTTTGGTGGTGTATTCGAAAGGCATCCAAATCTGAGAGTATGTTTTGCACATGGTGGAGGCGCTTTTCCGTTTACTTTGGGAAGAATTGAGCATGGGTTTAATGTCAGACCAGACCTTTGTGCCGTGAATAATACCGTCAACCCTAGGTAAGGAAACAAATGGGCAAGATACGTTAATGACAACGTCAATATCATTTCAAGGGGTTCACCTCTTTCTCTATGGGCGYGAGGAAAACGAGTGACAGAAGACTACGCCGCCTGGACTTCTAAGGATGTGAGAGCGCCAACTGTCTCCGTCAATTCATCGTTATAAAACTAGTCTTCTTATAGTGTAAAAATGGTCGTCTTTAAAACCATTCTTTTTCAGTTTTTTGTTATATTGTTGCTTACAAGTATGTATTTTTATTGCTCTGCCCCTTTGTCCTTTCTTTTCATTTTTCGCTGCCGCATCAATCTTCAACAATGGCGATGGCGCGCAATTGTCGCCAATGTTACAAGACTAAACCATGTGTTTTTTGTATTCAGAAAGTATATTGGAAAAATATTCACTGATTCGTTGGTACACGACGATAAAGCACTAAAGTATTTGGTGGACACCATAGGCAAGGTGAATACATCTCTGCMTTAAGGCTAGTCTTCATGTATTAATGTCGACTTTCTTTTTCTTTGCAGAATAATGTTGTCCTTGGTAGTGATTATCCTTTTCCACTCGGTGAACACTGTCCCGGTAAACTTATCGAAACCGTTTTTGACGACGACTTGCATCTTAGGGTAAGTTTCATATAATATGTAAGGAAATGTGGTCGTCGCAGTAAGTAATATCAATCCAAGTAATTATCAATAAATGTATCTCCTGAAAAATTTTCGGCCTTCAACAGGAACCGAACCCAATAATATGACCTCTCGCTAACATAGTTAGCTCAGTTGTTAGAGCACTGCACCGGCATTGCAGAGGTCATGGGTTCGATTCATGTTTGTGCGTCTAAACAAAAAATGCCTGTTGTTGGTTTAGGTGATTGTTGATGTAACATAAAGCATGTTAGATAAAGTTTGAAGCCGTTTGGTAATCCAACCTGATACAGCAATATCGGATGGCGCTGCACCAGTGACTCATTATCTCTCTTTTCTTCAAAACACTGAATTTTATATGTGCCTAAGCCAGTGCTTATGAGATAATGCCGTAAAGAAACAAACGATTGGAGAAATTTACTGTACAATGAATTCAATACATGTGACATTTGATGAGTAAAACAAGCAATTATTTAACAAATACATTTATGGCATCTTTTCCACCAAACATATGGAAAAACTAGTCAAGACCAAGTAATTCATGATATAATTTTGTGTTTCAGGACAAACTACTGTCGTCRAATGCTTTACGATTYCTTGGTTTRAAAGCTAGCCAGTTTGAAGTTAAAGAAACCTAATAAGCGTCAAACCTACTGACCTAACGATATGACCTGTACTTGACCAGTCCTGGCCACTCCAAGGGTTTATGAAAGCCACTCTAAAAATAATACAAGGATGGGTTTAAAGGCCCAGTTTGCACCATCATACTTTGCGTACCTTTGTTATTGTTTTGATTTGCACCAAAATACTTCTAGTATCCAAATATCATCATAAAACGAATTTCAGATGGTTGAAAACTCTTATATTAGCGTTATATATTAGTGTTATAAAGTGCTTAGAAAAGTGAGATGCTCAAAGATTCGAAACACTCAGTACAATTTATAGACTTTCGGTAAACTGAAAATGGCCTCCTCGCGGTCCCCAAACCATAATGGTGCACACTGGGCCTTTAAGAAAAGTCATGTCATGTAATGATAGCAATCCCTTTTCGATGTATTAGGCGAAGCAGTTCGACAGTGTTGCGTAGCTGCTCTAGGGGAGGGGGAGGGGGAGGGAGAAAACGGAAGTGGAGGGGGAAGGGGAGGAGCGGCAAAAAAACCTCCTCCCCTTCCGTTTACTCCTCTTCCCCCCTTCCCTAGAGCCGATAGGGCTATAATTCAGCAACTTTTCCTCCGCTCTCATTGATGGACAGTGGAACACGAGACACGATAGTACACCCGCCGCTTTAAGAGAATTTGTTGCTGCTGAACTGCGTTCTCGGGCACAGGTACCCCAATGCTAGGTGTTTTTTCGAAATATATAAATTTTAATAAAAGTAAACATCTCTATCTGTGTTTTGTGTTTTTCTTTGCATGTCT